CAGAACCCTTTTCACCTTCGGTTGTCGAACTCTCGCCGCTACGATCACCTCCCAGTTGCCTCTGTCAGCCAGAAGTTCCATCTGAAATAGAAAAGAAAGGAGAAAGCAGGATTAGAGAAATGATTGGAAGCAAAATGAGACTATTGTTGTAACAAGATAAAACATGAAATGGGTGAACAACAACAATATTTGAGTATATGAACCAAAAAGATAAACGAGATTTTTAAAAAAGAAGAGGAAGGGCCTTTGTTTACATTTCATGATAAATAAGAAAGACACATCAATACTTCTAAATACTATGTAAATACGATTTCATGAACAAGAGAAATTTCTGAACGTCAATACCTAACATGTCTGTGGTGTAGCGGTCAGCCGCGCAGTTATCCCACACATGATATCCGAGTTCAATTAACTAGTGAGGAGAATATTTATCGAGAATCTCGGTCTTTCTGCTGGGATATGATGTTGTATCCCTCTCAGCCTGGGTTCGTCCTGGCAGGCTGGATCAGAAGCCCGCCTCCTAATAGATCTTAATTGTGTCCATAGCTATATTAAAACACCTACATTTTAAAAAATCCCTAACTTTGCGTGATGACCCATCTGCACACACAAAAACTGCGTACTGAAACAAAATTCAACACTAGTGACATTAAGAAAATGGGTTTGTTTTTAATGATTTGTTTTCCCTTTTGGTGAGTAAAATGATGTTGTGTAGATTTCTCACAGCTTAACAACTAAGAAGCATTATTCATCTTTACAAGAATATTGTGCCTAAGTATCCAAGGGGCGTTGTTTGTTTTGTTTTGTTGTAAAGTTTACCATGTCGTTTAAGATGAGAGACACCGGCTACATCGTCACAAACAAGAACACAACATTCGCGTTTTAGATAAGAAGGAAGTTATGGTCAAAAATGTATTCTTAAAAATGATGTTTACAAAGAATTTGTTTTTCTTAGTAACGACATTTAGTTTATTTGGCCCTCCTGTAAAAAAATAAAACAATAAAAATAAAACATTGCATATTGCACTTTAAAAAATCATGACAAAATTATTACATTTGCAACTTATTTATCGCATTTTGTGTCTTGAAGGACGAACTAGAAGCAGCACGTATGGTGCAGTTTTGCTAGGCTGTAGATATAGAAGAAGCAACATTGATACGAGTACTGCATATTTCTTCTCTAACGGAAGAGTGATTTTCATTAGTACATAAATCCTGCTTGAATGTGGTAGTCGCTAAAACACTGGTCACCGGAGTCAGGAGCTCAGACTGAATCTGAGCAAGAATTTCCCGAGATATCTTTGAGGTTGTTTGTTATCATGGGAGAGTTTTTACCCCCCCCCCCCTCTGTAACTCTAGATTAGTCCTTTCGGAGACGGTTGTAGACACTCACACACACACACACACACACACACACACACACACACACACACACACACACACACACACACACACACACACACACATACACACACACACACACAGCTCATGGTCACACAGCTCATGGTCATAAAACCAATTGGATGAACAAAAGTTGTGTTGAAAACAGGGTAGCGCTCAAAATTATTTAATTAACATCTACCTTGAGAGACCACACAAAGCAACTGATATGTGTACGGTAATGGTAGTCTGTTAACCAGGTCTTTTAGATTAAGTATGTGTGTGTGTGTGTGTGTGTGTGTGTGTGTGTGTGTGTGTGTGTGTGTGTGTGTGTGTGTGTTAGGGTTTTAAGCAGGGTTGATATCAACTATATCCGTGGAAGTATCAATGGGTTAATGTTATAGTTAGAAGTCTACTATACGTTGCAACCTTCACATACTCTGATATCTCTGTCTGATCTTCAACTATTGTTCATGAAAATCATTTCTGTGGACACTTACATATGTCGATTAACTGATTGCATGGAACAACTGATTTTTTTCGCATTCTAATTTCAACGAAATTCCGTTAGGAATAAAAATAGCATACTATATATTAGGTCCATTTATCAAGCATGACTTGCTTGAAACACACGATGAAGATAAGAAAAGTAAAAGTATTCCGCAATAAAAAATTTACTAGCGTGATATTGTTCTGGTTTATTTAGTTTCACAGATGAAACACAATCACAGATATAGATGGAAGGGAGAGAACGAGAGAGAAAGAGAGGGGGAGAGAGGGGGAGAGAGAGAGAGAGAGAGAGAGAGAGAGAGAGAGAGAGAGAGAGAGAGAGAAAGAGAAGGGGAGAGAGAGGGAGACAGAGAGAGAGAGAGTTAGTCCTTCTTGTTGAGACAATTATTACATCTTTCAAAAAGTCCAAAAAGCATCGTCAATTCCAAACAACCTTTTATACATCTTTAGCAAAGAACTGCAACGCATTTTCTATTATCGTTATTAGTGAAATACTCAAAGTTTAATTAGCGAAACAAAGTATTCAAAACACACACAAAAGTAAAAAAGTGTCTAAGACAACGTACCTGTTCCATGTCCAAAATCTCCAACGCATCTTTGTTCAGGACTC